ACAAGGGGGAGAGAAGAAGAAGAAGAAGAAAAAAAAAAAAAAAGGTAAGGAGATGTAAAAAAGATATATCTCTACCCTCCCAATACCTTCTTATTGCACACCACAGTCATCTCACTTTCAGAGAAAGCCCCAATGAAGAGAGAGTCTGTGACACCAGCATGTGGAAGCAGCACAAGAGTCATACCTCACAGAAGAGGGTTTGTACTATTTAAAAGAGTAATAAAAAGAAAACCAGAGAGCTTTTTTTTTTTTTTTTAAACTATTACCTTCTTTTTAGAGCTATTACTAAACCCCTTTTCAACACACGTTGAAAGAGCTAATTCTATCTAGCTCCTGTATTTCTTACAGAAGTAACGCTCATGAAGTCTTTCTAGCACAGTCTCAAGGCAGCATAAAGGCACAGCACTGACATGTTGTATCCTCAGAACACAGAGATCTCTCATCCTGCTACGCACTTTCCCATTACCACCGTCCATGTCACACAAGCTTGGAGTGCCACGAGAGACTAAATATGAGCAAAATATAGAATCAAATCCCACAACCCCAAAGCCCTTTGTTTTGTGCCAACTCTTTTCTAAGTAGAGCTGGGGGCATCATGAAAAACTTACAGAGAGCGCAAAATCTGCTATACCATAAACAAAAAATGCCTTAAACAGAGCGCCGGTAGCATTATAATGCATAAAAGCTGTTACCCCTAACTAGCTCTAGACAGCATAGCCCATGGCAATGAAAGCCCAACTGACTTAATCCAGAATGTCTTCTCATCCAAGGAGAGGCTATGGAGTTCACGGTAGAGCATGTGATTAAAAGTTGGCAACAAGACCAGAGTCTTTCCCTTCCTCTATCTGAGGCCATTTTAATTTTTTTTAAAAAAGCATAATAGATTGCCATATATATATTAGTTAAACAGTATAGTTAACTGGCAAATTTTTGGAAAGCTGTCTCAGATGAAGCAGATGTTAACTCTAATTACACAACAAGATGAAAGGTGCATGACTGAATGACAAATTACAAGGTCAGGCAGAAAAAAAATGTTTATGCTAAACTACAGCGCTAGGGGCAAAGACTGGAAGAGACACAGATGTCATTTGCAGAAGTGTTCCCAACCTCAGTGTTTCTCATACCTGAAGAGCGCAGGAAGAGGCAGTAGACATGGCTTTAAAGGCAGAAAAACAAAAACAAAAAAATCCTATTTTGGTACCAAAAGAATGAGCAATGCTAAGCTGTACGGTACAGGTTAAACTCAGGCACCACTACCTTTAGTAATTTAATTGCATAAACTCCATCACATTCCACAAAATAATTTTATTAGATATATGAATACAAAAGATTTAAAAATATATTAGTGTTTTGAATGCTGCAGTAAGTATAGATTATTTTCCCTCTATAATGTCACACACACATATTAGTAACCTTGTCTCCAAAATACTGCATAAAAATACTTGGATTACTACTATGAAACTGACCTAACAGTCTCTTTCTCTCTTTGTCAGAGAGCTTTGAATCCTCATCAATAGCTTTTAGTAGGGATAACAGTTCATCTTTTGTGGTCTTCTCTGTATTGGAGCGATATTCACTCTCATCAAGCTTCTGGCAAAAGGTGTAGCCTAAGAGGAAGCACAAGACAATCAGACAGTGACAAGGCAGCCGGCCAACTTTCATTTCCACCTGTTGCAGGTTTTTTCCACCACCTCTACCTGTTTTATGTCCACAGATAGAGACAATAATAAAGGATTTAAGTTTAAGCTGTTACCTGTTATGTTACTAGGATCTTGGCCTTTCTGCATAGCCACAAGTTTATTGCTGACCATTTTATGTAGTGACCCTGGAATCTTAAATGAGATAGACAATTATCAAATAACAGCTAAAGAAAAAAGAGGACACAAGATAGCAAAAGCTTAATCATTTCCTAGCTCTTACCTTTAACACATCTCTTTGGTGATCCACAAGGAACAAGATCAGGAGGTCAGTTTTCCCTCTGGATAAGGTTTTATTGTTGATAATAGCCTTAGAAAACATTCTTTTTACAACCATCCTGTTGTCACTCTGAAGAACAAAGTGACAAGTAGTGACCAGAAGAGAAGCATTAGTCAGATTAGTCACTAAATAAGGGGTATGACATTTGTTCTTCTATAATCACTGCTTTTCACATGTTCAGCTGTTAACATCTTTCTCATGCAGTACCAGGCACCTAGATTTTAGTAAGCGTAATGCAATATTTAACAGTTAAGGATGCACACTGACCTCCTGCTGTAATTTGAGCTCAGAATTATGTGCTGCAACAGCCATAAAGTATAGTAGTCTCCTGAACTCCTCCCTCGTTTGGCTGTCTAGAAGTTTCAAGTAGAGTTGAGCTGCTTCTAAAGATTGCTCCATCTTGCCATTCACTGTGAAGAGAAACAAAGTTTATGGCCCTTTCAGGTCTGTCTTCAAAAATTGACAGTCTACTTTTACAACTTTTTGATTATTCCTTGAGCTACAGAAGTGCACCTCTCTAAACAAAACTTAACAAAAGAATGTTATTACATATACACAAAAAAAACCCTCACAGATGAGACCTGCTTGTGCAGTCTGAAAATAGTCTAGGCCCAGACATTTAAGAAATGTTCATTTACAATTAACTTCAATTACACTTCACAGCCCACACAACATGGCTGAAAGCAGCTGGAAGAGGAAAATAGTTCTCTTAAAAATCAACGATCTAGTTGTGACAATAAAGCTCTCCCAAAAAGTCTGAAGTATATTTCTAGGTAAACGGACTGGACTGATGAATTCATTACAAGCTACCTTGAGAAGACTTGCTAAGTTTTCATCCAATTTGCTTTAGTATGCACAATACGAACTTTAGATGTGCCCGTTTTATTTAAATAAAGTATTAGACTTCATTGTAGACTTGTTTGCCATATGGGAAGCAGAAATGAGATACAAATGCAAAATATTCACCCCAAATATGATTAAGGAAGATAATTAAGATAGAGCAGGATAAAAATAAATGAATGGGGGAACAAAGATGAGGAGTCATCGACTGACTGAAATAGCAAACTTCCTAGGATACTGCATAGACAAAGTTTTAGAAATATTTTAATGGACAAATGTAGGGAGAGATTAAAAAAACAACAAACGAACAAAAAACAGTAGTGAGTTGGGTACAGAGCTTCTAAATTCCTTTGACTTGGACCTTGTTGTCCATTTGACATTTAATTTCCATGGATATCAAGTACTAACAAATCATAGCATTCCAGTTTCATAGTCATTACATACAGATCCAAACACAAACTACAGAACTGCATATAGCCAGGACCTTAAAGAAGATTTTTTTTTTAAATAGGCTTTAAAACAAAACCACACAGTTTGTCAGGCTTGAAGCCTGACTGCTCTACTAAACAGCAGTCTTCAGTTTCACATAAGCTTAGGACCTTAGCTTTATTTTAACTTACCCAACAGTTCTGCAATTCCTGAATGAATTTCAGGTGCATGGCTTAACAGTGGCTCCTTTTTCTTGCCATAGTATCTACCAATATTTTCAAACAGCAGTAGTTTCCATGCATCTGCTTTATCTGGCTGATCAGGCAAGTTCCTGCTAATATCAACTACCATATGATCTGGAAGATATTCTAAGCAATCTATTGCTGCAGAGAGCCACTCATCTGTTCTAGAAGACAAAATGGTTTCAGTTTTTAGCATTACATATTCATCATTTTAATTCAGTTGCATTCTGTTTGGCACAAAGCATCTCTACTCATTTCTCAGTTAGTGTGAAAGCTGGACATGTAAGTGCTTAAATACCTTAGGAATTGTTCCCAGAGGAGACAAAAAAATCTGTCCCACTCATATCAGTTATATAGTTCTTAGCTGTGTATTTAGTCAGGATGAATAATTAGTATTCTTCCTAGCTAAACAGTCACAAGCAGTTGAACCTAAGTTTAGTGATGTCCTCTACTGTTACAGACAAGGACAAAAATCATGGCTAGATAAACAGAAACCTGAGCCTTGATCTGATTCAGACTGGTAAGTTTTTCAGTCTGTGCTTTTAACTGCATTTATACAGTTTCAAGCTCAACTTTCTCTTACTTCCTACATTAAGAAACAAAGCAAGAAGCAAAACTGTAGGCTCACAGGTAATTGTTTGGAAAGCTTTAAGATAAGCAAAATATTCTATTCTTCCATTAATACAGTAAACAATAGTCATCCCTTTGAACACTATCTGTGCCTTCAAAAGCTCTTCCAAAGTTCAGAAGAAATTGTCTCAGCTATTTTATATCTAGCACTTAGTAATTGCAATGTACTAGTCCAGTCAAGTCTAACAGATATGGAGATATGTGCCTATGTGTCCTTTATACAGTACTAGAGGCTAGGAACAGTTGTTCTACACCAAAGTTAATTACGCTTTATTTTTAGCTTTGAAATCCTTCTACTCCAAGTTGAATATTAAATACTCACTGTGAGTCACTGAAAGCCTTTAGAATCTCTCTGTCCAAGTAGTTACTCGTGATGATATACCCAGCTCCCTTCTTTGGCTGTGGAAGCTGAGGTTTGCTCTCTCGGTGCTCAAGTAAAGAGTCAAGGAGCGGAAGGTCCACGAGCTGCAGCAGACGAGCAATTGTTTGTTCTTGCCATACTTCATTAATGACTGGGAACAGAAGAATACACAAAGCATACAGATTTGGCAAGTGCAGGAAAGCTAAACAAAAATAAAGCCAGAAAACTCCAGGCAACTGCTTCCTCCCACTAATCCTAGACCAACAGTTTTATTCTTCCCAAAACAAAGATTTACAGTAACAGAAAGCATGTTCCTTATCAATATTAAGTGGATTATATCACAGCAGAAGAAAAGAGTCAGCCACTTGTTTATCTAAATATAAGTGTATGAGAATGCTTTTGGATAAATCTCAAGTGCCTTACATTCTTTGTTTCCTAATTAGAAAGCAATCCAGATAAGGATTCAATGTCACTTTTTTTTTTTTCCTCTCCTTTCAATCTCTTATCATAACTCCTACAACTAAAAACTATAGAAACTCCTGAGAGTTTCCATAGCATGCATTATCACTTTTGTAAAGGGAAAAAAACATTCTAAAATAGTTTAGTTAGAAAGGACATTAACCATCAGGAAGAACTTTTGGGCCCTTACATACACAGCATTGAAGGAGGTGAGAAGGGAAGAGTTTTAGCCAGCAGCAACTTACTAGCCATTATTGAGGGTGAATGCACCTCAATTAATTGAACATTATAAAGAATTTTCCTAGCTCGACTTGAAATCTGTAGCAACTGTGTGTTCTTTTACTTTTTTTTCAACCCCAATTATACTGAATAGACTGAACCTATTAAGCTAAAAAGCAGGCTTGCAAAAATATTGTTTGGCTTTCTTATGACACGGCATTCAAAACAAAAATACTGGTGTCAGACTGACTTGATCTCAGATCTGACAATCAATCATAAGTCCTCCTATGCCTAGTAACATCCAGTTATGTTACTTTTCTTCATACACAAAAGCATTATTTGGCTTACCTCGACGGGACAGACTTTCCGAGATGTTTACTTGAGGAGTATTTGCAGGCTTTAGACTCAAGTTTTTCCAGAGATCCTCCAAGCTTTCTGGTTTGACAGGAGTAGGGTTAAACATTGTCTTCTCATATCTGAAATAAAAACAAATAAAAGAAAGCAAACATTCAACAGCAGAGCTCAGGTCTTAAAAGAAGATGCTGGAGAAGTTGTAATAGTTGGAGTTAATTCCAGGGTCCTATTCCCTCTGGTCCTACAGCAGTTTGCAATAGTATAACAACACAGGAGACAGCTATCTAGTGCACATGAAAACACAGCTGAAAAGGCTTGAGGGTGGGAGTGCTAAATTTGAAGCATAGTCAAGCAAAGATGATGAAATAAGTCTTCTTATCTCTTCCTTCCCTTAGCGATTGGATACTACTGAATGGATTAATGGCTTCTGCAGACTTAGATCTGCAGTGACTAAGGGCAGTGACTAAAGGTATCTCCATTTCACTAGCCTACTTAAAGCACTTGAGCACCATTTGGTTATATTAGTATAGAGCCTAATGGATAGGCAGCATCTCAGTTCCCACACACACAGAAAGCACTCCAATAATAGACACAGAAATGAGTAACCATGCAGGCTTACTGGGTCCTAGAAGTATACTGTCCCCTTTATCTCCCTCCACCCTCCCTAAAAATACAGAAAGTTTTTCTACTGTAAAACATCTTTTACCTTCCATTAAGGACTAACCTTTGGGGTGTACACTGCTGATAATCTTTATCGAGATCCATTGGGTTTGAGACATTTGTGAACCGGTAGAGACTACTGCTACTATCTTCAAATACAGATCGCTTGTCTTTTCCAAAGACTCTAGTGGAAACAGCCTCAAACACCTTGTAGTCCATCAGCGCTTGACACACTCGCACTATTTTTGCACGAGAAATATCCACATCCCCAAAATATTTGTTCTGTAGAAGATGAGCAAAGACAACATCCACGGCATCTGAGCCGATGAAACAGTCATGGTAGCACTTTAGGTTTTGTCGACGCTTTTTCACTTCCACTTGAGTTTGAAGTGCACTGATAATGCTGCTCCAGACATAAGTTGCTCCAAACGGCTTCTGCGCCAAGCTAAACCCTAAGGATACAAGGATGGGGAAAGCAAGAAGACTGAACTCGTGCTGCAATTAGAAGACAAACTGCCACTAGCTCTCATGAAACATTCAAGGAGTTAAAACCTTTGCAAGTTCTAATTTGGTCTGGTTTTAGCCAACATCTAATGCAGAGAAATCACTGCTCATATTAACACTTCAAGTCTGTCTGTATTGCACCACTGCATCTCACTCTGTTGGTGACTCCCAACCCATTATCTTGAGGCTTTTATGATTAAAAAGTTTTTACTTCCCCCTGTCTAACCATCCTGTCACTTTGTTGTACCATTCTTTTAGTTACTCCTTCGCTATTTAAAGGCCAACTAGATCCACCTGCAATGCTCTAGCTTACCAACAACACGATACAGTTAGGGGGTGGTGAGAAAGGGAAAAGGGATAAAAAAGACAGGTCAGAAAAGCAGCAAGAAGGTGTGTGCACATAAGCTGCTGAGTACTAGTGCTTAGCAGATCACACTCAATATCATAAGTTTTCTTAAGACGTAGTTTACCAGGCACACATTCCATAGTGCGGCTTTCTAGCTGCACAAATCTAATCAAGACACAAGCTCTGTGTACTCAGTACTACTTCCTCGAGCCTGCCAGCCTTCCCTCCCCAGTAAAGCCACTGGGCTATTACTCATTTACCAACCTGGAGTTAAGAATAGCATGCTTGCAACCAATTATGAGAGGCTAGCATTAAAACACAAATATCTCAGCAAGCAAGTAACTGGAAATCAGACGAAGCTTAAGAGATTAAAAACAAGAAAAACTGAAGAAAAGAGAAATCAAATGCTGAAGAAAAAAATATGGACTCATAAATTGGCAGCATTCCCACAGAAAGACATCTGGGGTTATGACAGACTTCAAACCAAATGAATTGACAGTGCATTGCAGTGTTTAAAAAAAAAATGCATCTAATTGTGGAACATATTACCATGAACATTTTGCACAAAGATGCAGGAGACAATTTATCTGTTCTGTTCAGTCTGAAGAGGCGTTAGCTAGAGAAATGCATTCCAGTTTGAGGCACCAGAGTTTCCAGCTGGTCTCCATCTACCAGAATGTCCAGAAATTAGCAGGTTGGGAGGAAAGGAGAAAGAGATTAAGAAAAGCAGGGACTAATAACCTCTGTATGCACTATCATTATTATAAGGAGCACCTGTTACCTGCAGACCCATTACCAAGCAGACACAGCTTTGTGAAGGCTGAGGTTAGAAAGACTTAAGATAAGAAGGCAAGCATTGGAACAGAGAAGGCAGAGGTGTCCTTGTCCTGGAATCTCCATTTTCCAAAGCTGCAGAAGGACGAGCCAGACACAGGAGCAGAGCACCTAAATGTTGACGCTGCCTGAAAGGGGGCAGAAGTGCCAAGACAGCACAGCCCCAAGCTGTGGTGCCGAGCAGCATGCTAGGAGAGGAGGGAAGAGAAGAAAGAAAGGCAAAATAAAACTCCCTGAACGTCAGCTCCGGTTTCCATCGCTCTCGCCCTCACCTTTAGACAGGGAAGCGGCACTGAGCGCGTCTCCAGGCTGTCCCAAGTCCAAGCGCCCGCGGGGCACAGGAGCGGGACTCGCCCTCCCCCAGAGCTTGGCGCTCCCCTGCTTTCTCCGCTCACTTTCGGGCACAACCGCGCCAGCCCCACCGCGACCCCGCGCGCTAACGAAGCGGTGCCA